CCAGGACCGGGAGGGGGAGGGGGTCCTTGAAACGGTCCACCTTGGTTGGCAGGGCCTGGAGGAGGAGGGCCTTGCCCTTGTGGTCCGCCATTAGGAGGAGGAGGGGGACCTTGACCTTGATATCCTCCATTTGGGGGTGGAGGTCCTTGGAATGGTCCACCTTGGTTGGCCGGGCCAGGAGGTGGAGGAGGCCCTTGTCCTTGGGGTCCGCCATTAGGGGGTGGGGGGCCTTGGCCTTGAAATCCGCCGGTAGGGGGTGGTGGTCCTTGGAATGGTCCACCTTGGTTGGCAGGACCAGGAGGGGGAGGTGGTCCCTGGCCTTGAAAAGCTCCGTTAGGGGGAGGAGGACCTTGGAAAGCTCCGCCAGGTCCTTGATTTCCCGGTCCTGGGGGTGGTCCTCCAAATGCACCAGCTCCGCCAGGTCCTTGATTTCCCGGTCCTGGGGGTGGTCCTCCAAATGCACCAGCTCCGCCAGGTCCTTGATTTCCCGGTCCGGGAGGTGGTCCTCCAAATGCACCAGCTCCGCCAGGACCTTGGTTACCGGGTCCTGGAGGTGGAAGGCCAGGGTTGCCGCCGGGTGGCGGCATTCCAAAGTTCGTTTGAGGTGGGCCTACCTGATTCGTGGGAGTGAAATTTGGATTACTGGTTGCCATTCCAGAGAAATCTGGGAAAGGACTGCCATCAACAAACGTCCCAGGCGCATTAGGTGTATTAGGAGGGCCTTGGCCAGCGCCACCAGCACCGCCGAAGAAGCCTGGAGGAGGTGCATTCGGTGAAAAACCCCCGCCGGCTGGCGGGGCACCATACGCTCCACCGCCAGGACCAGAAAATCCACCCGCCGGACCCCCGAACGCCCCACCGCCATAGGGTGAACCCCCTGGAGCCCCACCATAGCCGGAGGAGGGGGGAGGAGAGCTGTCACTGGCAGGATTTCGGGTACCTTCCCCAAGATGATTTCCTGGAATGGAGGATAGAAGTGTATTTTTAAAAACATTTATTAGTTCACGAGAATTAACTAATAGTATATACATATGACGATGGCAAATCGCTTTAAGCTTTATGTGCTCATCTTAAGATAGTTTCAAAATGCAAACAATTTTAAAACTAATAAATATTTAAAAACAAAAAGTTCTATTATGATAAATACTGAAAGAGGAATTTAAAAATCAGTTCAATACAGGGGAGGTTGGAGGACCTGGGACAGCGGAGGGCAGCGTAATAACGTAAACGTCTCCATTACTTTCCCCGACTTGTTCACAAGGGTTCTAAGTAGGGGACGATATGTGAAGTATAGATGCATTTAAGAAATAAAAACACCCGTGGTTGGCTTAACGGTGTACACACGCTTCTCGGGGCGGGTATTCAACGTTGACATAGATTGAGATGACTTACATGGTTATAACAAATATTACGGTTTTATTTATTGCACTGGTTTGGAGAAAAATAGGTCACGGTGACTCTATTTAGGACGGACGAAAACATTTTACAGAAGGCAAGGAGCATGATGTAAACGGGCTCCTTTTTGTCTTGTGTTTGTTCATTCTGCATTAAGTTATCGTCAGTTGGTAATCCGGTAGCATGTGAGAGATATCCCACCTGACACAGGCCTGATTCCTATTAACTTATACAGGTAAGACCCGTCCTATAAGCTGACCCAGTGACGTCAAGCTAACCCTTACCTGTACTAATCTAATGAGGGATCAGTTTCTTTTCACCGTGCTGCAGAATATCATTTAATTTACGAGGCAATTAATATAGATAACCAACGCATGAATAAATGAATGTGAAAGTCGAATTTAAGATTTGCTGAATAAATAAATAAATGATTAAATAGATGAATGAATGCAGAGCTAGATAGTTGTCTAGTATAATAGCTGTATGCTTAAGGGACTGAGACCAAAAGTACACACAACCGTTTTGCCTCTAGATAGCATCAATAATTTCGTTTAAGGTAAGTATAGGGGTCTAACCGAACGTTCTATTAGCCCTGGACGGTGAATCGAATTAAGACGGCTTCAAATAGTAATTAAAGATAAACGCTCTAAATACGAGCCTTTAATGTTCATTGGTATATCCTCGTAAAATTAATAAGATGCTTTTTTATTACCTATTTGATACCAATAGTTTGACACAGTTTGGCGAAAAATAAATCCATCTGTTATTCATTTCAATAACCAGTATTAAAATGGTGGTTTAAGTGGCTTGCAAATCTTAGCATGTAAATATAACGATTGTAAGATAAAGATTCAGATATGATAAAGAGGTTTGACAATACATTATTATTATTGTCTTAATGAACTGCAGTTAAACCCGGAAGTACAAACTATGGGAACATCTTAAAATGTGGTTACTCAATCGTTATAGACGGTGAAATGAATTAAGTTTTTACACAACATCAACTGTTAGTTGAGAATCGATCCAAAAAGGTAAAAAGTGGTTCGCAACCCTTCTGGATAACCCCTTTCGCATCTTTCTCTTGGCACAGTGGTTGACTTTATGCTACACCTATTTAGATAGCTTCTTTTGTTCTCGATATTTTCTGCCTTTGATCTAAATAGTTTTTCCTTTTCTCATCTATTCAACTTTCTGTATCTTTTCGTATTCCCAGGATTATTTCTAATCCCGTCAGTCCTATGCCCTATACGAGTGCATCTCTTTGTAATCTTTCTTTTCCTAGCCTGATGTTACTTAATTCAGTGCTTTTGGCTATTAACATATACTATTGTGACGCAGAAAAATCCTTAAACCGCAAGTAGTTCTCTAAAAATATTTATATCGTACGCGGTTAGATAATGGCGTTAAATTTTGTGAGCTTTGATTTTTTATCCGATGAACAGTAGATGTTTCGAGGAAACGATGTTCTACTGATCAAAATAAAAAATTACCATGCAAGAATGATAACTAGTTTTAAAAAATGCCCATTTACGTTTATTGAAAGTCAATATTTCATACTAAAATAATTTAACGAAATTATTCTTACCTTGTGCTTTGCAAAGCCATACAACCACCACAAGACAACCGCACAGTCGTTTGTATGAAGTCATATTTGATGTTTAGTGTCTGTTTTAAGTTTTCTGCTTTTCTGTTATGATCCTCACGAGCGATCCGCAGTCTGTTCTTTGATTCGTTCTCGGAGTATCTTTCCAATGCCTCTCCAGTTTGGAGAACGGGTTGGAAAAATCTCTTTTCTCTGCCCCAGTTGTCTCGCACGATTCGATGTTACGTCACCTCTCAAGCCCTTTCTGTTGCCAGTTTTGCCGGGAAAGTTGGTGTTCACCGGCGCCGCTCACGTTCTTAAGTGACCGTCAGACACTACCGCGGCGGTCTTATTCAGGAGTTGTCGTGACAAAACACACTGTCGCTAGCCCATCATGTCGTCATCCACATTTGCATATATTTCAATTTCCTCCTCGCTGGCGACTCGGTTACACGCTTGTAGACCTCAGTTGATAAGAAAACTTAATTCTCGTCATTAAGAGATAAAACACATAATCTTCGCCACGCGATGCTTGAAAGTGATACGCGGATCTGATTTACATAAATGCATTTATTTCAGTGCCACGGCGCATTCACACGAAACCGTCTGTTTTACATTTAACCGCTGATAGTAACGAGCTATCATTTAATATTTAAGTCCCTTAGAACATAAGTATTAATGCCTTTTAATCTGATCACAGACACTGAGACATAATTCGGGTGGTTTCTTTTGCACGTGCGGGTTTCAAAATCTACAAAAGTGTGCGTTTCCATGTGTTTTTAGGTGCGTGTGTCCGCGTCAGTCGTAAATCGTAACATATATTTGCTGCTATCTGTTTCACGATAGATGGCGCCATTTATATCGTTTTTTTTTTCACTCGGCAATTTTAAACTGGTAACAAAATTTATCAACACTGGCGTCGAGGTAATTATGCAACACAATGCAACCATAACTGCCCTCTGGTCTTGGTTGGAACATTTTTTACAAAGAAAACTGTTTTGTGAAATACACATTTTCATCAGTTTGAATTATCGAGGTTTTCTTTGTTTTCATTGACGTTCATCTCCTTATCAAATAAAAAAAACTGTGTCGGGCAGCTAGAATAACACAATGGGGTCTGTTGTCATCATTTGTGAAGAATAAAAACGCAAAACGTACAATGCCGATGTAATATTATTTCTAATAATATACTAGAAAAATAAGAACATAAACATTTGACCAAGGGAAACAGATATGTAAGTCATGAGAATAAATGCAAGTTTAACTCACAAATAACTAAACAAATGACAAAACTAATGATATCTGTACAGGTAATATGACCTCCCTCGCCTGTTATTAATTCAAATTTCGTTATCAGTGTCTAAAATCTGGTGATTTCAAGTTCATTTTGGTTTCTTTACACCCAATTTTTCATCTGTAAGTCTCTCAGGAGTCTTTTGTTCCAAGTTCATTTTCTCTCTCAGTGTCCCTGAATTGTGTGACTTTCTACAGAGGGTTCTTCCATTCGTGCAGAATTATGGGCAATTATTGCTAGAGCTCATCATACCAGACTAACATATTTCTTCCAGATTTTATTTATCATAGACTGACACAGACTTATAATTGCCAAACTGTACTAAAAAAAAAAACTTGATTACTGCTGTGATCATGTAGATGGGCAAAGCTCTATGTTGGTTTGCTATTCTTTCAATTCGGTGACATTAGTTAAATAAAAAATAAAAACTGTCTGTATTTCTTTATGCTGCGGAAAGTTCAGTTCCTCATCTATTTTTTATTCATGCCGATTGGCAGTATTGTCATTGTGTCGCCTGGGCCCCCTTTTACGCATGCGTCGAACTCGTTACTTCCGCATAGTAAAAAATCAATGGCGGGGCCATCGCAGGGGGGCGTTCCCATGGCATCAAGATTGCGACACACCCTCATACGGTACTTGACACCTTGACAACACGAGGAAAATTGAGACCAGTTGGTCCATCCCTCTGAAATTAAAAATAATATCGCTTTTATTTTACACATATTTTGATAGCAAAGAAGTGTTACTAAATATTACAATGGTAGAATAAATCTCCCAGCAAATGTTCGGTCTGGCTATTCATATACTTCAAGATAAAGTCAGCAGTATTTCTATGCGAAATGCAATATTACACAATACTCTTATAGTATTTTGATCTACGACTTTCTGAGCAAAAAATTCCCAGGTTAATATATTCTATTTGCAACCTCTTTTCGTTATCACAAACTCAAAATCACATCATGCAAAATTATGGCTGCCTTAAATATGGCACATCAAAGTCGGCTAAAGCAAATGGGCCTTAAAATTCTCTATTTTTTCATTCATTAACTCTCCTATGAACATTACAACATCGGCAAACCCACCTGTAGATGGCGGCACAACACCAGATGATGGACTAAGTAAGAATGGCCGTGTTTGCGGCTGATTCCTCACAAAGCCCGGGGGTAAGAAATACCCTGTGTTTCCTTGGTAACCTGTCTGGGTCTGGCCCCCAGTGTTACCGCTGGTCCCCCCATACGTTGGCATGAATGGACGACCGTAGGGCGGGCTCTGATACCCTGGGGATTGGACTGACACACCGCCGCCACCATAGTACGAAGTCTGGAAAGGCCGGCCGTTCGGTGTGCCATAGGGCGAGTTATAGCCGCTGTAGTATGACGGTCCCTGACCATAAGGCCCTTGTGCTGTAAAATAACTTGAGAAACTCAATCTAAATCATTTTTATGACATCAATGACCGTTAAACTGTTCATCCTTGACGTGAGTTATCTCACCAATAATTTCGAATCAATTTTCAGTATTTGGGTTATGTTTAATGTGGGCAAGTTATTGACAAAAATATATCCTTTTTGTTTTCCTTGCTTAATGCGTAGTGGTCATTTTATATAAAAATAGGAAATAACATGACACTCGATATAGATGAGTATTGGGATTGAAGGTAAAGGATCCTCCTCAAATTTAAATGAGAAATGATAGAAATATTTCGTAAAAGTAAAATATGCCCAAAAGAAATTTCTGAATGCATCATTGTCAGTGATGCATTCAGAAAACCGTACATAAAGTTCACCACAGATTGAGATTAGGTAATTATATGTATGAGCGTTTTAGAATTATAAATGAATAAGTATGCCCCTTGCTTTTCTTAAACGATGTACATACATGATGTGAGTGAAGATTACAACACGATATTTCATGATTGCACATCGGGCTTTCTAATTTCATTAACGACGTGATTAGAATATGCTGATTGCTATCAACGAAACGCCACTGATGACTCGTTTAATTGTAGGTTTTCCATTTACGTCATTACTCCAATGATTGAGAAGATTTCCACGCCACTTGTCCAGGGAGATACAAGTTCAGGCAGGTATAATGTGACAGTCTCCAATGATCATTTGTACAGGTAAACCTCGCCCTAGATTTCGACCCACTTAGGCCACATTCAGAAAAGGGGACTAACAGATCTACGGATCAAATATGGCCGAGTCTCTTGAATGCTTGTTGCGAAATCCCCGCGGAAAATCTATTCAGTGTCTAATCCTGAATTAAGTGGTAAGCTTTAAAGTAAGTCGCCACATTTGAACTTCATACATGTATCTGTTAGTCTACTGTTCTGAATACGCTCTTTAGGGGTCCATTCATAATAGGGGACTAACTAGTCCGAGGGCCAAATATGGCCGACCCACGTGAATACTTCCCCATAAGATATCAATTCAGTGTCTATTAGCGGATTAGACGGCAAGTTTTGTAGTTGGTCGCCATATTTGACCTTCGGACTAGTTAGTCCCCTATTCTGAATGGAGCCTTTGTCAGGCCATTATAACTATATGGAGGGGGGACTTTCTGTCACACGGACCCTCAGTTTCGTTACACTGGTGCCGTATGTACAAGAAAGTCATCTTTAATACAGGTTCCGGTTCGCATTAAACCTCGTCCTAGTTTTTGGCCAACTTACGTCACGCTAACCCTAACCTGTGTAAATCTAATTTAGGGCGAACACTGTTTTAGGGATACTCAGGTTCATAGTACAAGGCCAGTGATGAATTAATAATAATAATAATAATAATAATAATAATAATAATAATAATAATAATACAAAAAATACCAACTGAAATTCCTATTACACGTATACTTGGAAGTACTTAATGAAGATAATACTAATGTGAATTAGTCATTCGTTAATTTGGCATAAACCAACGCTTATTCATCTGACGATATAAATCTTAATGGTTGAATAGCGCCGACGTTTCCATTTAATAATTATCTGTTGGTTTCAGGTCACAAAACCTTCCAACTGACCGAATGAACGTTTGAGGAAATACGACATTGGGAATTAGCCCATTACGTCCCATTAATCCGAAGAAGGGGTTTAGAGATGAAAGCTAATTTTGTTCCGAATTATTTATTCATATCTAACTGACCTTAAAATATGCACAAACGTAGACCTAACGTTCACTAAGAAGAGGAAAATTAAGGAACTGGTTCGATTTGATTAGAAAGGGGTCGTAACACACGTTACCATCTACATTGTTTGAACACGATAAGTCCATTAGATTCATACAATGCGCATAAGATTATTAGAGAGCAAAGAGTTAAATCCCAAAAGCTTGTAGCTCAAAAACTTCTTCATAGATTATATTTTCAATGGTATTTGATATGGTGTTTGATATGGTGTACTCTTAGTGATTTAGGAGAAAAATTGAAATTTCAAGTAAAATCAAAGGTTGTGTCTGAAAACCAAACTTTCATTGTGTGACCCAAACGATTTGGATCTTAGGTGTGGAATGGCGCGGTAGATTCCATTTAAGAAATAAATATCTCACACCATCAGCCGTTGATTTCAGGTAATGCAGTTTATCAATTGATCAATTGAAAGTTTAAGGAAGTACGATAATAATTTAGGTGGGAAAATAGACACCTACATCTAATTAATCAGAGGCTGGAGGTCAACCATCACCGATTGTTTTCCCATGCAGAGTTCTTCATTCAAATGTTTGGTGTAACCCTGTTGTAAGTGTGAACATTTTTTGATCTTCGCGGGAAAATTGAGGAAATTCAGTCTAATTTAGATAGGATACGTGATACACGCGACCATGGTTTGCACCCAGTTTGTGCATTTCATAAATGTTAATTAAGAAACAGAACTAGATCTTTAACCAGATCCTCACGGAGAGAAGGAGAATCTTTGATTCATGAAAATTGAAATGTTGAGGTGTGATGTCAAATGGAATTCTTTTTAGGGAAATATTTAACGACAGAACATTTATGTCAAACGAACTAATTCTTTGTATGCATGTCTACCCAAAGACTAAATCAAACTCAGAAAGGAAAGGCTAATGGATACACATTTTAATCACGGATATAGAAATAAGTAATCCAAAGTGTAGTAAAGCGGTCCTACCTTGTGTTCCTACGATAACGAGCAAAAAAGCTGCTCCTATTCCGAAAAGTCGAGACGCCATCCTTTCTGTATTTATTTCACAATTTCCAGTGCAGTTATGAGTCAAGAATTTCAAAGATTGGATTATATACGTGCTTTTGATGGCGTCATGGTCAACATTATCGCCGAAAGGTCCATATATCACGAACGAAACGTGAACAACAATATTGTCATGCATAACGGAAGATAAGGCTGAAAACAACCAAGTGTAACAGAAATTAAGGAGTGCGGAATTTTGAAAAGAGAATTTACCACAATTAAAAACTTTTCCGAGAGTCGTTATTTATGTATTCTTATTATTTATTTTTACTTTCCGATCATCACTCTGCCGCGATTCAATCTAAGAAGAATAAAAGAAATAAAGAAAAAGAAAAAAGTTATACTTCGATGAATTAACGAATAATATTACCTGAGGTTGCACCGACGCACCTCCGTCCGGAAAGTATTAATCAAGTATTCTTTTATAATAGGCCTACGACATCTGAACTCAGGTTTCATTAATACTGCGTAACCACGCATAGCAATATGAAATCATTCTTCCATCGACGCTGTGTCCGTAAGCAAGGCCAAAATAGATACGTTACGATAACGTTATTAATTACTTTTATATCTATGTAAATCTATAGACATATGACTGCAACATGTAGAGAAGCTCATTATTACCCGGGGTATTTTTGCTTTCAGTATTCTCGGACATTCAACAGCGTGCTTCTTGAAGCGCGTAGCATAAGATATATTGTAATGTTCTGTATAATAAAACTTGACGAGGTGACTAGTTACTATATACGCATACATGCATAATACGCAATCGCGTGCTCGTCAATGCAGCTGTGTTGTAATTCACGTATCAAATAGTTTTATTTAAAAAAAAACAATTAGATGTATTTCGTTATTTATTATAGCAATTTACCCCCTTAAAATAAGGTGTTATCATCTGATTGACTGTCTATTTTCAGCACCCTGCTATTTATAGACATTTGACGTCATCTCTGCACATCTGAAGACACGCGTGACAACTAAGTGTTTCCTAATCTCTAGAGTACGGCGTAGTGTGTGTTATCTTATACAATTATACATGCAGGCACCACAAGTGCACTACCGGCGCACACTGCGACATCTCAGCTGAGCTACTTCGCAAGTGATAGTTAAGCGATCACGTACACGTCTTCCTGTGCGCCCACTTGACGCACAGCGGTACAAGCATGACCTAAACCTCGTTCCAACGAGGACGACTGCGGACAGGTAGCTGAAAAAAACGCTTCGTTAGTCTCGTAGCTTAGCTTATAACTGAAAGAATGCGATGGTCTTAGTAGTTACGCAGCCTGGTGAGCCTACCCCTTGCTATAAAAGAGGCATTGTCTTTAGAGATATCTGCTACTCAAAGAGTTGTGCTGCCAGAGCATTCACGCCGTCTTCTCTGTCGCATTTCCATGCAGCGCATTGCACTAATTAATACCTTTTCCCATCTTTTTCTTTGTCGTTTTTTTTTCTTCTCATCGTTAATGGCCCGTAAAGGATTTATGCTTATCGTACGCTTGTTTGGGAAACGGGCAAAAGGAAGACCAAGAACAGCATGGATGGACAACATAAAAGAATGGACCAATCAAAAATAAAGTACAAATACACGAATGGCACAAGATCGAGTTATCCATGCCATGGCGACCCATGACAGCTAACCTTGGGCCCCCTAACTCGAAAGCATCGCACATTGCGACCGAGCGCAAGCGTCTCGATTCCATAACTCGCCCATACTCACAACATATGGGGGTTATGGAATCGAGACTCTTGCGCTGGGTCGCAATGCGCGATGCTTTCGAGTTACGGGGCCCTGCTTAGAGTGGATGGCACCCAATGATGATGATGATGACTCTTGTTTGACACGCCCTGTTCTCTATTCATTTATATGGAGGCTAACTACTCTCTTCTTATACCCCCTTTACACTGGACGGCGTCCTTTCTGCGACCATGAAATTTGGCATCGCTGTGGTCTTAATAAGGAGGCACGAGCATTGATTTTGTGTCAGAATGAATGCTCAATGATCGGCCAGTTGTTGGCACATAAAGTATTATAATTTTTTAACTCTCAAATGGGGCCGTACTGTTGGACACAGAAAGGACGCCGTCCAGTGTAAAGGGGGCTTTACAGAGTAACAGATTCACGGGTCTGTTTCACGTAAAAAAAATCTGAAGTTCTTGGACCAAGCTTACCCTGATAAAATAGGGATGGCCGATTTTGCAAAATTGGGCCAAAAGCTTTTAGGAATATTAATGATTAGTCAACAATAATTTTGCATGACATCCCTAAATGGGCCGTTGTTATCGGTGACAGCATAAAGTTTAGTCAGGTAAGTTTAGCAGTCTTTAAGATTTGTCTACATGTAGTAATGCAACTTCGTCATCGACGTGTAAGGTTCTATTCCCATAGATTTTAGATCGATCTATCCCCGCGGGGAGTCTCACTAGATTACTTTCAGATAATCCGACTTAAATGTCCGACCCGCCTACTACAAGCTGTAAGGGGGTAATTAACTTTCGTGTCCGCCCGGCTGACAGCTTTTTAGCGTGAACCCCCAGGGAGTTAGGTCGATCTTAAGTAGGTCGATCTAATCTATGGAAATGGGGTGTAAGGTTTCAGCTCGAGAATTTGTAAAGCATGCCCAGTTGTTGCTTCACTCATTTCTCTGGTGTATTTGTTTCTTCAACACATGCTTTATCATTCATAGATATTTGATTCTGGTATTCTTGATAGAACCCTTCGGTTGATATTATGAGTCCCTGGCGTATTCGCCTTCGACATCGTTCAATGATAATTACTTAAACATCGACAGAAACGGTCTTCATTTTATTGATATTCAATCACAATTGCTTTGCAAGTCTTTTTTTTTTTTTTTTGCCACTGAAAAGTCTATATGTCGCTTATAAAATGCCCTCAGCCTTTCTACTAGGAGCTCCCTCGTGGGTATTGTATGTATGTAAAATTCTATTTCTTAGTCGTGGATATGTCTAGCCACTCTCAAATTACATTAATTTTAGGCAATAATTTCTCATAAAAAGTCATAAAGCTAATGTGTCATTTCAATTGCGATGTCAAACAAAATTAGAAATCACTTGAAATTATGAAACCTTTTATCAATGGCCCATGGTTTTTGTTATGGTATTAAAACTGGATAAAATATACTTTTACAAAACCTCTAAATTTGCCACACGAGGGGAAAAAAAGCCTCCCGGGCCCTAAAAGCCCTTAGTTGTGGCAATCTATACTCCCGAACACTCCGCTAAGCATGAAATTGTTCACTTTGTTTCAGTAAAATATGTGATTATTTTGGTTATTCGAGACATTGCGATGCATAACAATATTCTACTTTTCACAAATGCACACTTTAGTAGGTCGTACGTGTACACTAGGCGTTCTTTCCACGTCTGCTCCCTTGTCAAATATATGAAGGATCACTCTAGAGAGGTCATAAACAGAGACCGTGACTTACGGCTCATTCCGTGTGACGCGTGGTAATCCCTTTAACTGATTGCATTCAGCGAGAGTCCACACGGAGTTGGATCGATCTACGTAGAGCGACAGTTTCATTGGGAGCGAGCCCTAACACTTGTTCATAGCCATATACAAACAGAAAAAGTGAACACGTTCTGCCCCCCCCCCCTCCCACCCCTCCATAAGCGTCTCACTTGTTTTTGATACGTGTACATTTTGTCATTCTGTCCCGTCACCCACCGGTCGTAAAACCAGGGATCCGGTTTGAACGGATGCCACTACCAGATCCAATATATGAAGAAAGGGGTGGGATATAAATATAATAGTTATCTTCGTCCATTGATGCGGAGACATTGTTTTTAATCGTACGTAGCGCTTTTTTTGTAGTAGGCTCATCACATGAAACATGGTCTTTTCGGACTAGATAAGTGAGTATTTTCTCCCCTTTTTGGGACTTGATTTGATCAGAATCGGTCACAGAGTTCTGGAAAAAACGGCAAGAGCTTCATTCATGTGTCAGGACTACGCGAGGCGTTTAATTTCTCCCACGAATTCCTTAAGCTGTTTTCCCCATGCCTTTATGGTAGGGATGTCTTTAGAAATGAACCCGTAGTGCCGGGATTTGGCGTCCACAAACATCACACCCCTCTCTGAAAATAAAGAGACTAAATAGATTAATTTAATTTTTTTGAATTATACGCCAAGGTAGATGTAAGTTTGAGAAGAAGACTAGTTAGTAAGCGAATCAATGACAAAAACTTGTGCAATAGGTGAGGTTTTTGAACTATGCACGAAATTACCGTGCTCAAAATGTAATATTAAAACAAACTTTCTTGATTTTTTAAATAGCGCTTCGACCTAAACATTAAAAAAAAATTACAGCAGCTACGTTACGTTATAGTAGACATTTATCAATGTAATCGATAAAATCATTTGAAATAGCAGTGCTGAGGGAATAAATTCTTTGGGGATCTCTTTTAAATGTTTGTGTCACGCTAGGGGGCGCCAGTTAAAACACTCTCGGACTTGCAATGTGTTGGTCACTTAATCTATGAACTCCCTGATCGTCAGGTGTAACCATACGCTCTACTTCCGGGATTTAGCCCAAAATCAGGTTTATTAATTCGGCGCTACACGTGACTATATGAACCCGATATTATACTGCATCACTTAACCGTGATAACTGTTAGCGTTTAAGGTGAAAGTACATGAACACTAGTGTTGGGCACCTAAAGAAAAAAAAAACATAAGGCCCCATTCCCAAACCTAGATCGATATAGCAGGATCGACCCATCTTCGAGGGGATTCTCACAAAATTGCAATCAGATTAAGCAGCTTAGATGTCTGGCACGCCTATGTAAGCTGTCAAACGCTAGTTAATT